AGCGGTTCTCAAGTGAGAAGGCCTGAGGATGTCTACCCATGGCTTTGTGTAGATATTAAGCTGCAGGGGACATGAGGGAATCAGGCAGGGCCTCCCAGGACAAAAGCTAAGGGCCCAAGCAGTCCACCAAGGCCAATGTCTTCTGGCTCCCTGCATCTATTTTGAACCAATACCCTTATGTCTCTTGTTATGAACAAACAAACAAACAAACAAACAAACAAACAAACAAACAAACCACCTTTATAGATTAGTTAAACAAGTAGTGTCCACAAAGAATCCTACTTTTAGCACTGATACTTTTAGTATGCTCAGATGTGAACACCAACATATCATTTATGCTTCGGAAGTATGTATGTAACTCCCATTCAGATATATTTTTTAATAATAATAATAATAATAATAATAATAATAATAATAATAAATTTTATTTATATCCCGCCCTCCCCAGCCGAAGCCGGGCTCAGGGCGGCTAACAACAATAAAACAGTACAAAAGTACAGCACAAACAACACTCTACAATCATTCATTATAAAATTAATTAATTCAAGCCACTGGCAACCATTGGGCCAGAGCTCCGCGAAGATTGCCGAGGGAGGGAGTCAGGCTGTGCCCTGGCCAAAGGCCTGGTGGAACAGCTCTGTCTTGCAGGCCCTGCGGAAAGATGTCAAGTCCCGCAGGGCCCTGGTCTCTTGTGACAGAGTGTTCCACCAGATCGGAGCCACGGCCGAAAAAGCCCTGGCTCTAGTTGAGGCCAGCCTAACTTCTCTGTGGCCTGGGACCTTCAAGATGTTTTTATTTGAAGACCATAAGTTTCTCTGTGGGGCATGCCAGGAGAGGCGGTCCCGTAGGTACGAGGGTCCTAGGCCGTATAGGGCTTTAAAGGTTAAAACCAGCACCTTAAACCTGATCCTGTACTCCACCGGGAGCCAGTGCAGCTGGTATAGCACCGGGTGAATGTGATCTCGCAGCGAAGACCCCGTAAGGAGTCTCGCTGCAGCATTCTGCATCCGCTGGAGTTTCTGGGTCAGTCTCAAGGGCAGCCCCACGTAGAGCGAGTTACAATAATCCAGTCTGGAGGTGACCGTCGCGTGGATCACAGTGGCTAGGTCAGGGCGAGAGAGGTAAGGAGCCAACTGCTTAGCTTGGCAGAGATGGAAAAATGCCACCTTTGTTGTAGCTGCAATCTGCGCCTCCATGGAAAGGGAGGAGTCGAAGATTACACCCAAACTCTTAACGGACGGTGCTGGCACTAATTGCTCCCCCGCAAGAGATGGGAGTTGCCCCCCCAATCCCATATCGTCCCGTCGCAGCCACAGGACCTCTGTCTTCGAAGGATTTAGCTTCAACCAGCTCCCACGTAACCATCCAGCCACAGCTTCCAAACATCTGGTCAGTGTGTCTGGGGCCGAGTCAGGATGGCCATCCATCAACAGATAGAGTTGGGTGTCATCGGCATACTGATGGCAACCCAGCCTAAAACTCCGGACAAGCTGGGTGAGGGGGCGCATAAAGATGTTGAAAAGCATCAGGGAGAGCATTGCACCCTGAGGTACTCCACACACCAAGGAGTGGCGCGATGACAATTCCCCCCCAAGCGCCACCCTCTGTCCCCGACTAGAGAGAAATGAGCGCAGCCATTGAAAGATTGTGCCCTGGATCCCCACGTCAGCAAGGCGGTGGTCCAGAAGTTCGTGATCGACCATGTCGAAAGCTGCTGACAGATCTAGAAGAATCAGCAGCCCCGACCCACCTCGATCCAGCTGTCTACGAAGATCATCTGTTAGGGCAACCAGAGCCGTCTCGGTCCCATGACCAGTGCGGAAGCCGGACTGGAATGGATCCAGAGCCGATGTTTCATCCAGAAACCCACCAAGCTGTTCAGCAACCGCTCTCTCAATCACCTTACCCAGGAACGGAAGATTCGAAACCGGGCGGTAATTGGATAGATCTAAAGGATCTAATGATGTTTTCTTTAAGAGCGGGCGCACCACTGCCTCCTTCAGTTCCCCTGGGAATATCCCGGTGCCAAGGGACAAATTGATGATATCCCCCAGGATGGCCCACACCTCGTCTGGACACGCTCTAATCAGCCAAGACGGGCACGGGTCGAGAGGACAGGTGGTCGGCTTTCCAGCTCGGAAGAGTCTGTCTACATCGGCTGGGGATATCCGGTTGAAGTGGTCCAATACTGGACCCGAGGACAGTCGAGGGGCCTCCAGTTCCTTTATTGTATCCAAATTGGCAGGGAGGTCATGGCGGAGCAACAAGACCTTCTCCGCAAAGAGGGGCCACTAGGGGGCGCATTGGAAGATGGCTGACAATAACATCTCTCCGACCCACACGAGGTAATTTGGAGGCTATGATGGGGGTAATTAGCCTCCTTAACCCCCCCAGGATTGTGGGGGGGGACGGCCCTTGCCTGCTGTGCCCTATACCACCCCCGAATTTGTGGGGGTGGGGGCACTAGGCACAAAGCCCTCCTGTGGGATTCCGGCACTCCTCGACGCCGTCCCTGATTCACGCCACTAGATGCAGATCTTCAAAGGAAACAATTTGGACGAAAGGAATGCACATATTTCAAGAAAGAATGGGGAGTAAAGACTGCTAACAGAAGAGATCTCTGACAAAACAAGATAAGAATAAAACATGAGAAGATACGCCAAGACAAGGTACGGCAAATGACTGATGGGGGAGGGGGAAAAAAACCTTCCCCTTCTTTCCCTATGTGATTAAACAAGAATCCCCTCCCCTTACGAGTCAGAAATGTCGTTTTAAGGACTTAAGCTGTGGATTTAAGGCTGTGTGGAGATAAACTTTTGAACCAAAGCACGTTTTAAGAAGAGCATGGAATGTGTAAGAGCTCTGGAATGACGCAGTTAAAAATGCCGTCACCATATTGGGAAGTTCTGTCGGAGGTCTTGAGTCTGGGAGGAGAAAGAGAGAAATAGAGCTGTTTATATATTGTGGGTTAAACTCCTCAGTGGGACTTAAGAGCGACAGTTTTACGAGTCTATGATGGAAAGAGTGATGTTATCTATGAAGGAGATGATATATGGAAACCATCTCGATTTGAGGATTGGAAGAACGGAAAATTCACACAGGACTATTATTACTATTGGTGTTTATCAGCTTAAGGAGACTATCAGAAGAGATCATAAAGAAAAAAGAGAAAATATATGAACAAGATGTGATGTGGAAACAGCAAGATAAGATGGGATAGAATTATGAACTCTGTTTGGACTGATTTGGACTGATTGGGACATTAACGCAGCAGCAAGAAGATGATCAGAATCCCCTTCGGATCTTGAAATATGGGTCCCCCCAACAAAATTTAAAATTCGGCTTTGTAATTCGGAATTTATGTGATATGATTTAATTTGATGTGATTGGCCAGTTAATAAAAATTATTAAAAAAAAAAGACCTTCTCCGCAAAAAAGCTCGCAAATGCCTCACAGCTGTGTGTCAAATTGTTATTTAAATTTGGCTGTCCCTCAAGGGACGTTAAAGACCTGATTATACTAAATAATTGCGCCGGGCGAGAGCTAGCGGATGCAATGGAGGCCGAGAAGTAAGACTTCTTAGCAGCCTTCACTGCCATCTCGTAGGTTTTCATAAAAGCCCTATAAGATGTTCTTGAGATTCCATCACGGGCACCCCGCCAAACTCGCTCTAGCCGTCTGAGGTCCCGCATCATTTTCCGGAGCTCCTCAGTAAACCAGGGAGCCCGGTTTCTGCGGGGTCGCAAAGGGCGCTTAGGTGCGATCTCATCGATGGCTGCCAGGAGCTGGATATTCCAGCCCTCAACAAGCTCAGTCAATGAGTCGCCAGGGGGAGCAAGGTCCCGCAAGGCTTGGCGGAATCTATCAGGGTCCATCAGCCTCTGCGGGCGAGCCCAAATCGGCTCGCCACCTAAGCAGGGTGGGGGTGGAAAGTCAATCCTGGCTTTCAGATCAAATCCAGCGTGTGGCCTGCTTGATGTGTGGGGCCTAAACAAACTGGGAGAGCCCTAGTGTCGCCATGGAAGACACCAGGTCCAGAGCCTGTGAGGAGGGAGTGGCATCAGCATGGATGTTGAAGTCCCCCAATACCAATAGGTTAGGGAACTCCAAGGCCCAGCCGGCCACCGCCTCCAATAGGCCTGACAGGGTGGCTGCTGGTGCGCTAGGTGGCCGGTACACCAGCCGTACACCAGCCAGACAGCCAAGCTCTCCTCGGAGCCCCACACTAGGCCAACACATTCAATGCCGGGGATCGATGGCGAATTACAAATGTTTACAGTGCATGTGTTTTGAACTTAAAGGTAAAGGTAAAGGGACCACTGACCATTAGGTCCCGTCGCGGACGACTCTGGAATTGCGGTGCTCATCTTGCTTTACAGGCCGAGGGAACCGACGTTTGTCTGCAGACAGTTCTTCCGGGTCATGTGGCCAGCATGACTAAGCCACTTCTGGCGAACCAGAGCAGCGCACGGAAATGAAGTTTACCTTCCCGCCGGAGCGGTACCTATTTTTCTACCTGCAGTTTGACATGCTTTCGAACTGCTAGGTTGGCAGGAGCAGGGACCGAACAATGGGAATTCACCCCGTCGTGGGGATTTGAACCGCCGACCTTCTGGTCGGCAAGTCCTAGGCTCTGTGGTTTTGAACTTATGATCTATCAAATCCTTTATCGAAGTTGAATATTTTGTGGAATGTCATCTTTCATAATATGGAAATAAATCTCATTCAAAGAAATGATTGAGTATACATCGTGGGGGGGGGGCAATTTCTTTAATGAATAAACATTGTGATGGAAATAAACAGCTTAATGCCCTACTTGGAAGTATTCATTGGGGAAATAAATTGTGCAAAATGGTTTAGGATCTTCCATTTAAAAAATCAACACATTAAAAGGAAAAAACAGAATACTTATTAAAGAGATATGGAAAAAATACAAAATTAACCCATCTATCCCTAATTATAAACCACTTTAACTTCTCCTTCAGAAGCAATATCAACACCTACTTATTTTTAAATTGTAAAATGTTGCCTATCCTTTGCCGAATCTGCTTGGTCTTCACACTGTACACAACAGGATTGAGAAGTGGTGGGACAGCAACAAATATGTTGGCCATCAGCATGTGGACAATGGGGGAAAGATGCTTCCCAAATCGATGTGCCACACTGATGCCAATCATTGGGATGTAGAAAATCAAGATGGCAGAAATGTGGGCCACACAGGTGTTGAGAGCCTTCAGACACTCTTTTCGGGAAGCAATGCTCAAAACTGTCTTCAGGATCAGGATGTACGATACAAGAATGATAAGAACATCCAGCATTATACTGCACATGACTACAACCAAGCCGTATATGATGTTGACTTTTATGCCTGCGCAGGCTAACTTCATGGCATCTTGGTGGAGACAGTAGGAGTGGGAAAGGACATTAGATCTACAGAAAGGGAGCCGTTTAATGAGAAAGGGGAATGGGAAACAAAAACAGAAACCTCTGGATAAGATAGCTATTCCTATTTTTGCAATGACTGAATTTGATAGAAGTGATTTGTATCTCAGTGGATCACGGATGGCAATCAAGCGATCAAATGCCATTGCCACAAGAATGCCAGACTCTATCTCTTGAAGTATATGGATAAAGAACATCTGGGTGATGCAGCTGTTGAGCGGGACTTCTCTTGAGTCAAACCAATAGACTCCCAGCATTGTTGGCATGGTGGACATGCACAGGGCCAGATCCGAGCAGGCAAGCAGGCAAAGGAAGAAGTACATGGGCTCATGGAGGCTTTGGTCAATCTTGATCACATAGAGGATCATGATGTTCCCAAGCAGAGTCAGGGCATAGAGCACAAACAATGGGAAGGCCACCCAAGAGTTCTTCTCCTGCATCCCAGGGATGCCAATCAGGACAAAGGTTTGGTGGCTCACCAGGGTCTCATTGGAGCTGGAGCTGGAGGACATCGTTCCCTAAGTGTTGTGGTAGAAAGATTCTAAGGAGTAACAAAATTGATCTGAACGTTAGAGATTCTGATATCCTGGTTCAGTCCAACATGAAATGTTGTTATTAGAGCCTCCATTCAAAGAAGGAGAAACAGTCCTAAAATCAATGCTAAATTCTCCTTTTATGATGGTCAACTAAGAACCCCTCTGTTAGGGGACCGCCCAGAGTGGCTGGGGAAACCCAGCCAGATGGGCAGGATATAAATAATAAAAGTACAGTATCATCATCATCATCATCAATCTCAGTCCTCAACAGTCTCCCAACTCCAACCAGTTCATCTCTTTTATTATTTAAAGCTTCTATACCTGTTTGCTTGCTTTTGTCAAGGTGGTGCTGGCTTTTGTGGCCTTGGGAAATTCATTGTTTCTCAATTTCTCATCTGCAGATTTGGACAGTGTAACTGCTGACATAGAAATGATATATCTAAATGACTAAATGTATAGCAGCATAAGGAATAGGGGGTGGGACAAGTCTCATCTCACCTCCTCCTGCTCCCCCTTTAAAAACAGGTTGGACAGCCATCTGTCATGGATGCTTTGGCTGCCATTCCTTCACCCTTGAGGTTCCTCCCAACTCTACAAGTCTATCATTCCTCTTCTGAGAAGACAACCTTAAAACTGAAAAGCCCAGTGAGCGAAAGGGATGTGACCAGAAATGACCAGAGGCTGGAATCAGGGGGGCGGGGGCAGATATTGACTGATTTTATAATTGTGTACATAAAAACAAAAATGTACAAATGAGTAGAAATGAATATTAAGAATGGATGAAGGAAGGAAAACTAGGATACCAGGATAACATACCTTTAGGCGCCAGCTGAAAATGTTTCTCTAACACCAGGCTTCTGGCTGGTTGAACAATCTCTGGTCTTTTAAACAATTGTGGGAGCGGAGTCTTTTGTTTGCTTTTTTGTCTTTTGGTTATGCATTTTGCCTTATTTTGTAATGTTATGTTGGGAAGCTCCCTCTGATGTTGGGTGAAGAGCAGTAGACAAATACAATAGATAAAAACAGTAATTATGATGACGATCTGGGAAAATAAGATGTGAATCTGCATGAGGAAAAGTGGCTAAAACCTGCAAGACTTACAGCATGCAAATGTAAAAATAAAATAGAATAAAATGAAGTATGGAAGGAGAAGGAAAAAGTAGCCTTTTACAACTGAACTTATTCAAAGCCGTCCATAGTCTGAAGCCTAGAAAAAGCCACCTCTGGTCATACCTCAGTCCTAAGATGGGCCTGTTGCGATAAGAGAGAAGCAAGATCTTCTCAAAGGAATTACAAAGGGTCCCTCTAGATGACCAATTTATTGAGGATTCATCTTGAGTTGCTTGTGCAAATCTGACAGAGAGGTTAGTGACTGCATTTTCATTCTGCTTGGTTTGTGAGGTGGTTATAAGAGAATGCATATTTATCCTGCCTTCATCCTGATTTGCATTCAGAGCCGTAGCTCATCTATCAGTCACTCATTTGTTCATCCTGCACTTTTCAAGACATTTCCCTGTCACTTTCCAAATTGCAAACAGTCTGTTTTTTAAATAAATATATATAAGAAGCAGATTTGTTGTTCTGGGGTGATAGAGCATTCCCACTTTAAATGTGTAAACTGAAATTTCTGGTGTGTGGTTGAAGCACTCACCTGAAATATTGGTGGTCTGGAGATGCCCAACAATAAATCAGAGCAACAGTTAATGTCTGTGGGAAAGATGGAGCAGAAAGATCTAATCCAGTATAAAATTATATTGAAAAGCAGGGAGAATTTCTTCCAGGCCCTGTGTGAAGTGCATGTACTGGCGTGTTCTGCTTGATATAGGTTGGGAATAAGATAACCTGAATGATCAACTCACCCTTTATATATGTAGACTGGGACCTCCTGCAGATACCATCTTAGCAAGATGTGGGACCTGCACAATAAAGGAAGCGGACCTCTGGAATTGCCTCCTGAATGGGACCCTGTGTCCCTTTGGAATGGCCTGTTCTTCAATATGAGACAGCGCTGCCTCTGTTGCGATTTGGGCGTCTACTGAAGACCCTCCTCTTCAGTCCCAGTTGGCACCTGCACTTTTAGAGTGTTTGTATAAATGAATTTGCTCCTAAATCTCCATATGGTTTTTATATTGGAATCATTTGGAATTTTAAAACATATGGAACAGTTTTCAACTGTGGTTCCCCCCCCCCAACTTTCTTGCATATTTCATCTTTCTTTGTATACTTTCTGGTGGCAACCTTCCCTGGGACTATGTGGTGAAGGATGGGGAAGAAATCAAACCGATAAAGCAATCAAAGCTAAAAGATTCTTCTTAGACTTGTTTACAGCTTCCATTGTCCTCCGTAGTCCTGGGCAGCAGATGGACTCCTCCAATATGGAATTACACATTAAATCCCACTTTCTCTCTGGCCTGCCCAGTAGCAATTGCAGCATTTTCACTCAAATGATAGAAATGATAATGGTGATAAAGGTCATAATAATCATATTGATAATGAGATTATCATCAAAGTTCAGCAGTAGTACAGAGGCATATGTTGCTTTTCCATATGGATGTGGATATTAGACTATTATTTTATTGTTATTTGCTGCTAACAGTTAAGAAAAATGCCTCTGGTATACACAATATTTAACATGGGACATTGGAACAGAAAGCAAGTGTAAACTCTCTCGATCATCTTATAGCCTCATGACTGAGGAAAACCTCTCTGAGCTCAGTCAAGGGAAAACTCACATACTTTGTATCTCAACGAGTCCTTTGCCCTTACCTGACTTTATGGCACAGGCTGTGAACCTGACCTGGTGAACATGGAACCTGCCAGCTCCTGCCTGTGATGTTCATGGCAATAAGCATTGTAGAAAAACTGTTTTCCCTCCGGGCAATGACACCATGGGGCCTAGGTGCCCAGAACTGCTGAACCCACTGGGAGCAGTTATTAGAGAATCGCCAAGGATCCTGTGAAGGGACCTGCAATTCTATTCTCAGAGGTGTTCTGGAGACCACTCTGTGCTCCCTTGTTCCTTAACACCAGAGAAGTGGGATGCAGATGGAAATATGCTCAGAGTGGAGTATTGATTTCATGTTCTTTATTTCAGCTCATAGTACAACAGTGCAAATTTCCCCCCAAACCTCTGGCTATATATACATTATTTACACAATGGGTCCTGTGTGATCGGCTGATTCAACTCCCCTCTTGGAGCCTGACTGGGCTACTCCTGCAGATGAATCAGGTTGCTGCATTCTAGGATCCTACCTGCCTATTGTTCTAGGATCCAAGCTCAGTACAGTCACACCTCATGTTACGTTTGCTTCAGGTTGCGCTTTTTCAGGTTGCATCCCGCGGTAGCCCAGAAGTACCAGAAAGGGTTACTTCCGGGTTTTGCGGCTCGTGCATGCGCAGATGCGCAAAATGACATCATGTGCATTCGCAGAAGCAGTGAATTGTGACGCGCGCACACGCAGACGTGCAGATGAGGGGTGCGTTCTGCTCATGTTGCAAACGGGCCTCCAGAACGGATCCCGTTTGCAACCAGAGGTACCACTGTACATAACACAGACAGAATATCTTAACCAGGAGGTCTCAACCTACCTCTCTGAGCGGATCCAGGGAGAGAGGTGTGAAAAGGGCGGAACAGCCACATGCTCCTTGAAGGGTGCATTTACAGGAGAGAGCCCAGTCAGACGACGTGGCACTTGAGGGGCATGAAGCAGGCACCCGCCCATTGGTGCCCCCAGCACAGCACAGCACAGCCTGGTGCTCCTCTCTGTGAACGCTGGGTCCTCCAATGCTGGGAGAGGAGTGCTAGCCTGCTTTGGGGGCACCTGCTTTGCACCCCCTCAAAAACCTGAACCCGGGGGCACTGCCCCTCTGGCATGCCCCACACTATGCCCCTGGGCTGCTAAGGCTCTAAGGGTTCCTGCAGCTGCTCACTCTTCCTGGTGGGCTGAGCCCACTGCTTCCTTCTCTTTTGACTCTTCCTAGACCAAGGTGATGGGTGTGTGTCTGTCTCTGGCTCCTGTGAGGTGCCTGGGACCAGTCAAGAAGAACATAAGAAGAGGCTGCTGGGTTAAGCCAATGGCCAATCTTGTCCAGCCTCCTGCTCCCACATTGAAACCCATAAGTTGGAAACAAAGCCCCAGCGCCCTCTCTGTGTCAGTACGCCTTTGAGCCAATGCCAACAACTGGGTTCAACAACTTCTTCTGCCCCGACTGGGCTAGGCGACTGGAGAGCACTTCCAGAGACCTTCCACTCCTGGAAAGCAGGTCTAAGTGCACTGGACCCACAACTGTGAGTTGTGAGCACCAAACTCAGCAGAGTATGAACAACACGGAAAAAAGCTGTGAAGCATAACTTCTTTATTTTCTAATAGCTACTGCAAACTAAACTAAAGAAGTACTGGCTTGCATGAGTGTTACAGCTCTTACTCAGCCATCTAGTCACTACTGAGATAACACCTAGACTCCCACAGCGAAGAGCAGTTTCCGCCCCCTCCTTTCTGAAAACATTGTCAGGAGATTCTTGCAATGGGAGGGGGTGAAAATATCCACACTCTGCTCCTGTCATTCCCAACAAGTGCTATTCAGAAGCCTTACTGCCTCCAACTATGGAGGCAGACAACAGCTATCATGGCTAGTAGCCATCAATGGTCCTCTCCTCCTCCATGAATCCTCTTTTAAATACGGCTGTCATACGTCTGAGTTTTCTCAGACATATCTGGGATTCGTCTGTTGGGGGGAAAATCTCAACAACTTTTGTGTCTGGATTTTCACATTTTAAAATAAGGCAGCCCCACTTTAAAGCCCCCTGAGTTGGAGGCCATCACTGCCTCCTATGGGGCTGGGAGCCAGTTCCACAGTTTAACTCTGTGCTGTGTGAAGAAGGACTTCCTTTTATCTGTCCTAAATCTTCCAACATTCCACTTCAATCCCACTTGGACTACTGCGATGTGCTCTACGTGGGGCTACCTTTGAAGGTGACCTGGAAACTACAACTAATCCAGAATGCGGCAGCTAGACTGGTGACTGGGAGCGGCCGCCGAGGCCATTTAACACCGGTCTTGAAAGACCTGCATTGGCTCCCAGTACGTTTCTGAGCACAATTCAAAGTGTTGGTGCTGACCTTTAAAGTCCGAAACGGCCTCGGCCCAGTAGACCTAAAGGAGCGGCTCCACCCCATCGTTCAGCCCGGACACTGAGGTCCAGATCTGAGGTCCTTCTGGCGGTTGCCTCACTGGGGAATGGCTGGGGAAGCCCAGCCAGATGGGCGGAGTATAAATAATAATAAATAAATGGGTGTCCATGAGTTTTAGCGTTATGAGAAAGGGATAAAAACTTTCTCCATGCTGGGCATTGTTTTATAGACTTCTTTCATGTCTCCCCTTACCCACATTTTCTCTAAGCTAAGATAGTGTCTCTGCTAAGCCTGCAGAGCAACATAGGGATGGAGAGACGGTGGGACTTGTGCTTCCCTTTGGGCAGAAGGTTGAAGCGAGACAGCAGGTTGAAGAAGAAGAACCAACAAAATGAATTCCATTTCTTTTAATGCCAAATGTGAACAGCAACATGATGGGAGAAACCCCTTGGTTTAAAGAATACACATCAAAAGGTAAATTGACAGCACCTTAGAGCCCTATTTGTAAGTAAGCATAGATTATATTTTCTATGGAACCTGTGGCATTGTTTAGGCTCCTTCGTAAGGAAATAAAATTGAGGAAAGGACAAAGCAGACTAGTTATTAGAGAGGCAGAGGCATACCTAGGTGCTGGCAAAACCTGCCCCCACCGCAGGCTCAGAAGTGGTGCAAAAATCACCCCAGAAATCCTTCATCATCTGTGGTAAGACAGTAGACCATTGGGGACTTTGGAGTGCTGAGGTATTGCTGAGTGCCTGCCACTGGCACAGCAACTGGGAGAAGCTTCCCATCCTTATTGCACAAAGGCACAAAGGGTGCACAGATACAGAAGTGACATGGGATGGATCCATTTATCCCTAATAATAAAAGACAAACACTTTATTTTCCTCTTATGGCAGAATCCTCCTTTGGGAGAAATATCAACCCCTAGTTCTTTTCAGCTGCAATATGTTGCATATCCTTTGCCGAATCTGCGGGGTATTCACACTGTACACAAAAGGATTGAGAAGTGGTGGGACCGCAACAAATATGTTGGCCATCAGCATGTGGACAATGGGGGAAAGGTGCTTCCCGTATCGATGTACCACTGTGATGCCAATCATTGGGACGTAGAAGATCAAGATGGCAGAAATGTGGGCCACACAGGTGTTGAGAGCCTTCAGACACTCTTTTCGAGAAGCAATGCTCAAAACTGTCTTCAGGATCAGAATATAAGATACAAGAATTACAAGAGCATCCAACAGAACTGTGCACATGACTGCGATCAAACCATATAAAACGTTGACTCTTGTGTCTGCGCAGGCTAACTTCATGGCATCTTGGTGGAGACAGTAGGAGTGAGAAAGGACATTGGATTTGCAGAAAGGGAGCCGTTTAATGAGAAAGGGGAATGGGAAGCAGACACAGAGACCTCTGGATAAGATAGCTATACCTATTTTTGCAATGACTGAATTTGAGAGAAGTGACCTGTATCTCAGTGGACCACGGATGGCAACCAAGCGGTCAAAAGCCATTGCCACAAGAATGCCAGACTCTATTGCTTGTAATATATGGATAAAGAACATCTGGCTGATGCAGCCATTGAGTGGGATTTCCCCAGAGTCAAACCAGTAGACCCCCAGCATAGTTGGCATGGTGGAGATGCAGAGGCCCAGATCCGAGCAGGCGAGCAGGCAAAGGAAGAAGTACATGGGCTCATGGAGGCTTTGGTCAATCTTGATGACATAGAGGATCGTGATGTTCCCAAGCAGAGTCAGGGCGTAGAGCACAAACAGTGGGAAGGCCACCCAAGAGTTCTTCTCCTGCATCCCAGGGATGCCAATCAGGACAAAGGTTTGGTGGCTCATAATGCTATCATTGGAGCTGGTCAGAGGTGAAATCATCCCCCAAATGCTTTTGGTGAAAGGAGTTGAAGGAGTCTTAAAATTGATCTGTATATTAGAGATTTTTATACAACCTTACAGATTCTGTCAATGTCATATTGCCTTTATGAAAGGGGATACATATTCTGTTTTAATTCAACAGCAAAATTTGTGTTAGAGCCTCTATTCAAGGAAGGAAGAACAGTCCTGAATGCTGCTTCATTTCACCTCCTATCCTGGCCAAATAACACTCCAACCCTATCATAAAGATTCCCAGTTTCTCATCTGCAAAACAGAAATAAAAAATACAGTGACATTGCTGAATTAGAAATTATCTGCCCAAATGACTACAAGGGAAGGATTGGGTAGCAGTCACCCCTCCTCTTGCTCGTCTTCGAAGACACCTTGAAACGGAGGTCCTTTTTACAGCCCCATCCAGAGATGATCAGAAGCTGAAATATGAAGAAAGAGAATATTGATAGAGTAATTTTTAACACAAAAAGAAAAATACAAACAACACTGAATAAAAAGTGCTGAAATTAGATTTTGCTTGCAGAAGATAAGAACCACCAAGCTATTTGCAGAGGAAGATAAATAAATATTAAAGAGTGAAGGAAATCTTACATAAATCTGTTTTTCTTTAAGAGGTTGTTAATGCTTTTTCCTGTCTGAAACAGTCAGGCTTTATATAAGCTACAGTTCTCAAACGAAAGCTTCTACCATTCCATTGTTCTGTAGACCTTGTCCTCTATATCCCTGGGCAATGCTCCTGTTCACAATAAGCAACAGAAACGCAGTGCAAACTCCAAATTATTGTCTCCTGTTCCAGGAACCAGCTGTTTTCCTGACTGGCCCAAACCATCCCCCCAATATGAAACTCTACATTGAATCCCAATCTCTCTCTGGCTGACCCACTATGAATTGCAGCATTTTAAGTTTCATGATAAGGACCATAATAACCGTATTGGAAAAGATAATAATTATTCTCATCAAAATTCAGCAGTGATACCACAGTACATATATGTGATAGCTTCCCATAAACGTGTCACTGTTCTTCTCTTATTACCTGAAACTAACAATTAGCAAGAACTCTGATATGCACAATATTTACAACCCCCCAAATATGAGCATGAGAATAAAATCAGAACAGTTTCCATCATCTCGTGGCCTCTTGATTGAGGAAGACCTCTCTGAAGCTGATCAATGGAAAACTCTCTCTCTCCCTCGTGTCTTATGGCGTCTGTTGCACTTACCTGACTTTATGGCCCAGGCTGTGTACCTGGTATGAGTTCTCCCAGGAGGGACGCTGAGCCTGTCTTTGCTGCTCCAAGAAGGATCCCATCTGCGCTTTTTATGGCACAAAGGGTTGTAGCAAAAATGTATTTCCTCAGTGAGGCCAGCTGCTCCCAAACCACCAGAAAATTGCTGAACCCCCTTGGGAGGAGATTTCTGAAATCCCTGCTGCAAGTAGAAGGACACATCCAGGCATCCTGTGCAAGGACTTGCAGTTCTGCTCTCAGAGGCATTCCAGAGATCACTCGGCGCTCCCCTCTTTTGTATAACCAGAGAAGTGGGATGCATACAGACTATCCTAACAGGGAGGTCTCATTCTCCATGCAGATCTGAAGACCCCTAAAATCTGAGTCTGGGTAAACGAATGACATTGCTGTAAACTCTAAAAGAGTTTCAAGTAGTAAACAAACAATTGTCAGCTGCGAGAACAGTGATAGTTAGTTAGTTAGTTAGTTAGTTAGTACATTTCATTCATATTCCATCGCTCAACCTGTAGGATGGTGGTACACACACACAATAAAATCATTAAAAAGTTGCTTTTCAATACTTTAAGAAAAACTCACCATATCTTCATCAAACCAGAAAAAGCAATGCTGCAGGTGTGCCTTTTCTCCATGTGAGAGCCAGTGTGGTGTAGTGGTTAAGAGCGGTAGTCTTGTAATCTGGGGAACCGGGTTCGAGTCTCCGCTCCTCCACATGCAGCTGCTGGGTGACCTTGGGCCAGTCACACTTCTCTGAAGTCTCTCAGCCCCACTCACCTCACAGAGTGTTTGTTGTGGGAAGGAAGGGAAAGGAGAATGTTAGCCGCTTTGAGACTCCTTAAAGGGAGTGAAAGGCGGGATATCAAATCCAAACTCTTCTTCTTCTTCTTGTCTAATCCTCCTTTAAAGCCATCCAAGTTGGTGGGCATCATTGCCTCCAGTGGGAGAGAGTTCCACAGTTTAACTCTGCATTGCTCAAATGTGTTATTTCTTTTAACTGCACCAGATCTTCCAACATTCAGCTTTGATGGGCGCCCATGAGTTCTGCTTAGTAGAACTTAACCAAATATGACAAAAAATGAAGATGAATGAGGCTAAGAGCATAAAAACGGGAAAAACTATCCACGCAGAGCTGAGAAATCCTATTTAAATCACAACGACTTTGCCCCATACAGGGGAAATTTGCAGAGCACATAAAGGGCAAAGAAACTCAGCTTCATTTGGTCCTTGATTCTATGGCTGAGGTGAGACCTAGAGGTTTTTCGTTACTGATACCTGATGCCACAGACAAGACACCTCAAGAAGGGGTTCCGCTCCTAGATGCAGGGCTTGACCAGAGAAGGACAATTATGGGGCACATGGACCTATACTCTTATGGCTTTCGCAACTGGATTGCTACAGTTCACTCTACGAGGAGCTACCCTTCAGGGTAGTCCAGGAGCTGCAGTGGATTCCAAAGTCTGCTGCATGCATTGCAAGTGGTGCAACAGAAAGGGATCATGTAACACCAACCGTGTGTGAACTGTGTGTTTGCCTATTTGCAACCGGGGCCAATGTGGTTTTTTTTTTTAATGTACAAAGCCCCACACAACCTGAGAACCAAGTACCTGATGGAGCGCCTCTCCCCATTTCTGCCAGGTCAGGCCCTGGGATCTGCAGGGGAGTCCTGCCTAGATATTGTGTTTATGAGCATGTTTGATTTGGCCTGACTTAATCAATCCACTTTTGGTTAAAGAAGTTGTTTTCACCAGTCAGAGTGAGAAACGACATTGGATCTACAGAAAGGGAGCCGTTTAATAAGAAAAGGAAATAGGAAGCACAAACCAAGACCTCTGAACAAGATAGCTGCACCAAATGTTGCAGTTAAAGAATTTGGGAGAAGTGATCTGCATGTCAGTGGATCACAGGTGGCAATTAATCAGTCAAATGGAGTTATTTATTACATTTGTATACCGTTCTTCATCCTTAGATCTCAGGGCAGTTCACAACATAAAAATACAGGATAAAAACCGCAGGATACATAATAATAATAATAAGAATAAGAAAACAACCCAATATTGCTTCACCCCCCTCAACACTTTTAAAAGTCATTGGGTGTTAATCAGTCAAAGGCCTGGTTGAAGAGGAATGTTTTTGCTTGGCGCCTGAAGCTGTGTCTCTTTAAAGATGTGCCCCTTCAAACTGGCAGGGACCACCCCCTCTCCTAAAGAGGCATTGATCACATTCTTGACCCAGCCAGCTCGCGTGGAAAAGGCAAAGGTCAGAAGTCCAAGACAATGCAACACAAGGTTATGGTCTCATGCTACACGCCAAAGGTCCGGAAGACGTCTAGATCTTTCTTCATCATTGACTCAGGAGTGACCCGGCACGTCTGCAAAGACAAACACCTGTTCGTGTCCTTTACTCCGCAGGAAGGTACGATTCACCAAGCGGAGGAGGATGAGCTTTATCAGCTCGGTCGAGCAGAGATTCCTCCTCCGGCCAAGTCCTCCGGAATCGTCTCCGACGTGATTGACAACCTGAGCCTCTGACAAGGCTCCAGGCACATCCCCCATTCAGCAGAGAATCAAAGCAGCACATGGAAGTGATGAGATTTATGGCTACATCGCTATGATTTATTTTCTAAGCTATGCAGACAGAAAATAAATATACATCCTCTCTCTGTGAGAGCAGAGAGCAACTGAACAACAAAGGAACAGGAAATCAGTAACGTCACATCCGTCTCCTGTCTTCCGTGAGACTTCCAACAGTATGGAATGTGTGGAATGCAAAACAGAGTCTTGTGACTCCAAAACACTACACAGTGGCAAACAGAAACTAACACCCACACCCTGCTGGCTTTTACCAGCCAAGAGAGGCAAAGGTCTAGAGCAGGCATGGCCAAACTTGGCCCTCGAGCTCTTTTGGGATTGCAATTCCCATCATCCCTGACCACTGGTCCTGTTAGCTAGGGATGATGGGAGTTGTAGTCCCAAAACAGCTGGGTGGCCAAGTTTGGCCATGCCTGGTCTAGAGCGTCACCCTGACCGATCCAAGCACCTTGTCCACATCCTTGAGCCTCACCAACTGAAACTCATGCAACATAACAGGACTAGACTGTGCTCTGGACACCCCTTGAGTTTCAGCTGCTAAAACAGTGGAGTCAAGATCTTGGTGGATGAAAGTGATTTTATCCTCAAAATGCTTTGCAAACAATACTAGACAGGAAAGCTCTGCTGGATGGCATAGTGAGGATTCAATGGAGTATGCCTTCTTTGCTGTCTACACTGCCTCTAGGTAGGCTTGATAATGAGCCCTCCCCATTGCATTTGACCAAATCTCTCCTTCACTCATGTTCAAGACATCTTCCAGTATGTTTCCTCATCCTATGCACTGGAGTATACCAGGGAGCCAAGGGGCTCCATGAGGTGGGAAAGGGCACTCAGGGGTGATCATATCAATGGCCTGAGCCATCTGGATGTTCCAGAAGTTGGCCAGGTCTTTGCCAGGAGCTCCAGTGATATCAGCCAGGAAATCTCCCAGAGCCACCTGGAAACCCATTGGATCCATCAGCCTCCTCTCTCATCTCTCTATGATGAATATCTCCATTCTGATATCATTTCAGGTTTAAGCATAATCACCTAGCCTAGCCAACCCTCCTTTCCTGCATACAGCAGTTGCCATGCGCTTTATCAGTTTATTCTTTTCAGTGTTCTGGAGCAAACATCTGCTACCTAAAAAGCAACCCGTTCTGCACTGTAAGAGGTAAATATTGCTCATGCAGTTTAGCTTGGCCACAGGCTCAAAAGAAAATGGAGTTTTCAGGAAGGTACAATTTTAAAGAAAAAAAGTATTATTCTCCATCAACAGCCCTATTCCTAAGTATTAATCTTTCTTCTTCTTTGTGTATGGAATAATAATAATAATAATAATAATAATAATAATAATTTATTATTTGTACCCCGCCCATCTGGCTGGGTTTCCCCAACCACTCTGAGCGGCTTCCATAGAAACCAAAAATACACTAAAATATCACACATTAAAAACTTCCCTGAACAGGGTGGCCTTAAGATGTCTTCTGAAAGTCAGGTAGTTGTTTATCGCTTTGACATCTGATGGGAGGACGTTCCACAGGGTGGGTGCCACTACCGAGAAGGCCCTCTGCCTGGTTCCCTGTAGCTTTGCTTCTCGCAATGAGGGAACCGCCAGAAGGCCCTCGGCGCTGGACCTCAGTGTCCGGGCAGAACGATGGGGGTGGAGACGCTCCTTCAGGTATACTGGGCCGAGGCCATTTAGGGCTTTAAAGGTCAACACCAGCACTTTGAATTGTGCTCGGAAATGTACTGTGAATCCTGTGCAGAATTGCTCAGTGTCTGCCATTAAACATATCAGAATAAAAAGGACAAAACAGACTCAATAGTAAACAAATTCAGAAATAATCTGGGATGCATTTCTACATTTTACATTTGTAAAAAACCCAGAAGCTTTCCTTTTTTGGAATTATAGGGGCAGAACTACACAAACTGTATAGAAACTTATTTATGTATGCTACTACAGAAGCAAAAATGTTACTTGCCCAAAAATGGAAAGAAGCAGAAGTCCCAGCAAAGGAAGAATTGATACAAAAACATGGAATATGCAGAAATGGTGAAATTTACTGGAAGAATAAGAAATCAAGATAACAAACTTTTTATAAAAGGATGGAAATGGTTTATGGAATATTTAAAAACGAAGTGTAAAAAGATAAGAACATTGGCAGAATTATTGTAATGACCTGCAGTTTTATTTAAAGTGGATGAATAAATGAACAAGTTAAGTTAATTTGGAATATGCAGGAAATATAAAAAAATATATCTAAGGAACTGCAGAAAGAGGAGGAAGTCGAATATCAAAATGTTAAAATGATCGTAAAACAATTGAAATGTAAATAACTGAAAATCATATTGAAAACAAAAACAAAAACAGAGATGACCTGGGATGGATCCATCTATCCCTAAATATAAACTACTTTATCTTCCTTTCATCAGAGAATTTTATTTCGGTAGAAATATCAAACCCAACTTTTTTTTAAAGTGCAGTATATTCCATACCCTTTGCCGAATTTGCTGGGTCTTTACACAGTACACAACAGGATTGAGAAGTGGTGGAACCATAACAAATGTGTTTGCCATCAGCATGTGGACAATGGGGGAGAGGTGCTTCCCGTATCGATGTACCACAGCAATGCCAATCATTGGGACATAGAAAATCAGGATGGCAGAAACGTGGGCCACGCAGGTGTTCAGAGCCTTGAAGCATTCTTCATGAGAGGCAATGCTCAAAACAGTCTTCAGGATCATGACATATGATGCAAGAATGATAACAATGTCCGTCCCTAAAGTGCAAACAGCTATTATCAAACCATAGAAAATGTTGACCTTTATGTCTGCACAGGCTAACTTCATGGCATCTTGGTGGAGACAGTAGGAGTGAGAAAGGACATTAGATCTACAGAAAGGGAGCCGTTTAATGAGAAAGGGGAATGGGAAACAAAAACAGAAACCTCTGGATAAGATAGCTATTCCTATTTTTACAATGACTGTATTTGGAATAAGTGATTTGTACCTCAGTGGATCACGGATGGCAATCAAGCGGTCAAAAGCCATTGCCACAAGAATGCCGGACTCAATCCCTTGCAATGCATGGATAAAGAACATCTGGCTGATGCAGCCATTGAGTGGGATTTCCCCAGAGTCAAACCAATACACACTCAGAATAGTTGGCATGGTGGAGAAGCAGAGGCCCAGATCCGAGCAGGCGAGCATGGAAAGGAAGAAGTACATGGGCTCATGGAGGCTTTGGTTGGTCTTGATGATATATAGGATCGTGATGTTCCCAAGCAGAGTCAGGGCATAGAGCACAAACAGTGGGAAGGCCACCCAAGAGTTCTTCTCCTGCATCCCAGGGATGCCAATCAGGACAAAGGTTTGGTGGCTCACCAGGGTCTCATTGGAGCTGGTGATGGAGGACATCGTTCTCCTGGTGCTTTTGGTGGAAAGATATTAAGGAATAATAAAAGTTAAATGTTGAACCTGGGGAAGGAGAACATGCCTCCCCAAAAGCTTTCTGTGGATGGGTTCTAAAGAGTCATAAAATTCTTATTGTGACATGATGTAAGAGATTTTGTAACGTATTGAGAAATCTCCCAGTTTAGTCCAAGAGGAAAAGTTTTCTTAGAGCCTCTAATCAAAGAAAGAACAGCAGTCTTGACTGCTGCTTCATCTCACCTTCTGCCCTGGCCATAGAACACCCCAACCCCAACATCAAAATCAATCCCCAAAAGTCTCCCAAGTCTTACCAGTGGAGTGGAGGTCTCAAGAGTGTGGATTTCAAAGTTTCAGTCTCCCAACTTCTCATCTGTAAAATTCAAATAACAATCACAGTGCAATACATAAATTAGAAAAGGTAGATATAAATCACTAGACATATAGTATTATTTGGGAAGGACAGGACTAGTCTCACCCCATGTCCTCCTCTTATGAGAAGACACCTTGATGTGGAGGTCCTTCATTTTGCAGCCCTATCCAGTTGATGAGAGGATTGTGATCATAGAATCATAGAAATGTAGAGTGGAAAGGACCATGGGGGACATTTCCCCCCTACTCCAGACAGATGTTGCAGCAAAAACTGCAGGCCACCACAATTTTCAATTCTTCCTCACTGAGTGGTCCTGTAGTACTTCTGCTCTGTAGTCCTTCTCCTCCTTTCTGGAAAGCAGATCCCCACCCCTACCCCCAACCACAAGATAGAGCAGAGCAGTACAACCTCCGGATTATTGACTCCTGATCCAGGAAACCAGATGTTTTCTTGATCAACCCAAACCCTCCCCCCCCATGAAGTTCCCGATTAAACCCCATCTCTTTCTGGCTCCCAGTATGAATGGCAGCATCTTTACATTACTCAGGAAAACATCTCTGAAGTCAATTGGAGGAAAACACATCTGTTTGTTATCTCATGCAGTCCTTTGCACTTACCTGACTTCATGGCACAGCCTGTGAAGCTAACATGCTTTCTCCCCGGGTCAACGCTGATCCTGCCTGTGCTGCTGTCAGAGGGATTCTGTTTGTGATATTTGTGGTGTGTAAAGAGTTACTGAAAAACTCTTTTCCCTCAGGGAGACAAGTTGCCCTCAAACTGGGAGACAATTGCTGAATCCTGTGAGAGGAGATCTCGCAAATCCCAGTGGCAAGTATTAGGCAATCTCAGTGGATCCTGCACAAGGACCCGGAGTTCTTGTCTCAGAGGCATTCCAGGGAGCACTCTGTGCTCCTCTCCTTTGTATAACCAGAGAAATAGGAGATGTACAGAATATCTTAACAGACAGGTCTCATCCTCCTTGGCAGAGGAACCAACTCCTAGGGGCAAAAAGGTCTTTGGCACCCCAATAAAATATTTGATGGGGCTGTACTGCTAAGTTGATGGTCATTGCCATTCAAATGATGCGTGTGCACTGTGTCATGTGATCAATTATGCAGGGCGGGGCTTACCTGCCCCCCATATATTATTCAAGTGGGCACCCCTGATCCCTGAAGAACGAAGACCCCTAAAATGTGGGTCTGAGTAAAAGAATCCAGCTCTTGACATGAAGGTTCAAAAGAGAATCAGTTACTAAACAGATCAGGGTGCATGAGGATGGATAAGCCCTTTGTGGTGCACCACTTACAATGCATGTAATTGTAACTGCTTTCAGATCCTTTTCATTGCATTTGTCTTTAGAATGTTTTAAGAGTTTCAGAATGTTTTTGCTTTGTTTTAAAACTGGATATCTGCTGATGGATTCTAATTTTATAGAACCATAGATTCGCAGAGTGGGAAGGGATCCAAAGGGCCTTCTTGTCTGACCCCCCTGGAGCAGAAGAAAATAAGCTTGCTTCATATTCCATGGACAGCCCTTTCAATATATGATGGTGGCTACTATTATCTCCTCTCAGTCTCCTCTGTTCCAGGCTAAACATACCCAACTCCCTCAACCATTCCTCACAAATAAGGGTTGGTTTTCAGACCCTTGATAATCTTGGTCGCTCCCCTCTTCACACCTTCCAGCTTGTCGGTATGGTGCTGGCATGCCAGGTGTCTCCCATTCTATATATTTTTGCACCTGGTTATTCCTGCCTGCATGTAGAATTGTACATTTGTCCAAACAGAAATTCATTTTGTCAGTTTTGGCCCACTTCTGCAATCTGTTAAATTCATCTCAAATCCTGCTTCTGCTTCTGTGGCATTAGCTACCCCTCTCAGTTTGGTGTCATATGCAATTTTATTGAGTATCCCCTCAATTCCTTCATCCAAGTCATTTATCAAGACCTTGACCAACAACGAGCCCTGAATAGAAACCTGTGGCACCCCACATGTCACTTTTTTCCAGGATGATGTCAAGGACTGGGCAGAGGAGGAATGGTGGCGACTGCCCCCCACTTCCTGAACCTTCCTGGAAGAAGGAAGAGGAAGACAGTATTGATTTACAATTCCTGTATGAGGAAGGTCACAGCTCAGAGGCAGATGAGAGGGAAAGTTGGGAAATCATGGGAGAGCCAGAGCAACACCTGGCTGACACAACATTCGAAAGCATTCCAGACCCTCCATCTCCCAGAATCTGGTGAGCCCTGAAAGTAAGAGAGCAAAGAGCTCAAAGACAGATTGTACGTAGCAGTACCCATAGAAGTGACTAATGGGCAAGTGGGAGAGAAGGGGGGATGGAGATTCACCCAGGACAACGCCATTATCCAAGAGGCTGGGTTGTATAACCTCTCTCTGTAAATACTGAATAATAAAAAAGGATGGTAAGAAATCTTCCCTTGTCTTTATACTTTCCTGGGCAACAGCTGAGAGTCACTGATGGCATCCTGACAGATCGTCCCGAGTCAACTTTAATTGCTGGTCAAGTCATAAATACTGACAGAAGGTGCAGGAGCAGAATGCCAGTACTGATAACCAGGGAGAATTGTTTCAATGGCTATTACAACAAATTTATTGTTAAGAGGACACGTAAAACAATTAACAAGCACAATAAATCATCAAAATACAGAACTTGGAAGACCGGGAGTAGAAGCTCAGAGGTGTTCAGTGCCCCATTCCCCCATTGAAATTCAGTGGAGAGACTTCCAAGTTCCTTGTGTTTAAAGCAAATGCGTAAATGTTCTTCAAGGTGAGATAAGATGATTTATAGACAGACCTGGAATGTGTGTTTTTTGTAATTAATCTTCTGGAAGGAGTTGCTAGCCTTGGGAGATCCCCTTACTGATTAACCAACACCCTTGTTTGTTGAGATTGGACAGTTTTATGGCTCATCTTGAGTCCATATTCCAGGAACCGAAGCAGAAATCTGCATGTACAAGAAATTTTTTGAAGCTGAAGCAGGGGTCTAACTCAGTAATGGAGAACAGTACAGAGTTCAGTTTGCTGTTGCAGGAGCTAGTGTGGAATCGGGAAGCCTTGATGGCGATTTACCGTGCAGGGCTGAGTGAAACCCTGCTGGATGAGTTGGCAAGAATGGACCCTTCTGCCAGTTCCCTGGAGGCATTGATGCAAGTGGCCTTGAAGCTCGACCAGCAGTTGCAGGGGCGGAAGCAAGAGAGGGGAGCTGTTATCAGGCTGCAGGAGAGGCCGTTTGAAATGCCACACATTCCAGAGAGAAGGCCTGGGAGCCAAATGAGGAATGGTCCGGCAGAAGAGGCTATGCAGATAGGTCTCCAGAAAACTCCTTCCAAATGAATCCAAGGGAGTGAGGCGTTCTCAAAGTAAAGGAAGGATTGAACTCTGATTAATAAGAATACACACAGAGGCTTGAACCAGCAAGACTCTGGGAAGGGTGTCTCTCCACCCCCTGGCCCAGGTCGTTTTATTCACAAAAGAACTTTTTACAGAGTGTTTGTAAGAACCAATAAGATTTCTTCTGAGCATTTCAACAAACCCCACGTGGGGACAAAGTTAGATCAAAAGAAATTCTTTTAACTACAAAGACTAGTCTGAGCATGCTTACATAATCTGAGAGTAAATAAAAGAGGACTAGAGAAACTCTGGAGATCATAAACAGGAGAGGATGGAAAGATGGCAAGGAGATAGGCATCTTTATCACCTTCCTGTGAAACTATTTCCAGGCCCTAAGATCAACATCCTGAGATTAACATATCAGAAAGGCTACTTGAAAGAAGCTGCCCACTATCTTTCACAGCCCAGGATGCATGCCTGGTGAAGCAGCTGGCAGCTGGGCTGTGTGCGTGACTTGTCAAGCAGAGAGAAATGGAACAGGATGCAGAGGTGTGGATTGATCAAGAATCATATCAAAATAGTTTAAACCCAGTCAATGCAATGCTTTCATTGCTGACACAGATGGCTTACTCTATATTTGTTATAATTCCTCATAGCAATCAAACCTGGTCACTACAAGGGAGCTGCACTCTTGGAACTTTAAACCACTTGGGAGAAGTTGGGTGTGCATAAAAATTGGTTTGGATGCAGCCTTGTTTAATCCATCTCTGTCACTGGAATGCTTTCTTTAAAAAAACCCTTTGAAATCTACAGACTGAAGAACACTATTTTTTAACAGTGAAACTAAAATTTCTGTATATATATATATTATCCTTTTAAGGACAGAACTGGATAAAAGTGTTTCCTTTTTGTGTCTAATTGCTTCGCCAGGCTTTGAGTTTCCTTGCAAACCAATTTCTCTTCCCTTCGACACAAAATTGTCATTTGATAAAGGTATCAGCTCCTGTTTTTTTTAAACGTAAAGTTTGGTAAATCCTCTGTCGAATTTGCTGGGTCTTCACACTGTACACAACAGGATTAAGAAGTGGAGGGACCGCAATGTATATGTTGGCCATCAGCATGTGGACAATGGGAGAAAGGTGCTTCCCAAATCGATGTACCACAGTGACACCAATCATTGGGACGTAGAAGATCAAGATAGCACAAATGTGAGAGACGCAGGTGTTGAGAGCCTTGAGGCGCTCTTGGTGGGATGCAATGCTCAAAACAGTCTTCAGGATCAGGATATAGGATATGAGAATGATCACAACATCCAACCCCAAAGTAAACATGGCCATTACCAAACCATACAAAATGTTGACTTTTGTGCCAGAACAGGCTAACGTCATTGCATCTGGATGGAGGCAGTATGAATGAGAAAGTACATTAGATCGGCAGAAAGGGAGCCGTTTAATAAGAAATGGACAAGGGAAGATGACACAGAAACTTCTGCAGAAGATAGCTATAGCTATTTTTGCAATGACTGAATTTGGTAGACGTATTCTGTACCTCAGTGGATCACGGATGGCAATGAACCGGTCATAAGCCATTGACACAAGAATGCCAGAGTCCATCTCTTGAAATATGTGAATAAAGAACAGCTGGCTGATGCAGCCATTGAGTGGGATTTCTCTTGAGTCAAACCAATAGACCCCCAGCATAGTTGGCATGGTGGAGATGCAGAGGCCCAGATCCGAGCAGGCGAGCAGGCAAAGGAAGAAGTACATGGGCTCATGGAGGCTTTGGTCAATCTTGATGACGTAGAGGATCGTGATGTTCCCAAGCAGAGTCAGGGTGTAGAGCACAAACAGTGGGAAGGCCACCCAAGAGTTCTTCTCCTGCATCCCAGGGATGCCAATCAAGACAAAGGTTTGGTGGCTCACAAGGCTCTCGTTGAATCTGGTGATGGAGGACATGGCATGCCAAGAGCTTTCGGTGAAATGATTCTAATAAGTCATAAAATTCTTATTCTGACATGATTTGACAGATTCTGTAAAGTATTGAGAAAGTTCCTTAGAGCCTCTATTCAAACAAGGAAGTGTAGTCTTGAATGCTGCCTCAGCTCACCTGAGTAGGTAGTAGGCACCCCAACCCATCATCAAAATCAGTCCCCAGCCGTCTCCCAACTTTAACAAGTGGAGTGGAGGACACAAGAGTGTGGCTTTCAAAGATTCAGTCCCCCAACTTCTCATCTGAAAAATTGAAATAACAGTTACAGTGCAATATTTAAATTAGATAAGGTAGATCTAAATCATTAGTTGTAGTAGTATTATTGGGGAAAGACAGGACTAGTCTCACCCCATGTCCTCCTCTTATGAGAAGACACCTTGATATGGAGGTCCTTCATTTTGCAGCCCTATCCAGTTGATGAGAGGATTGTGATCATAGAATCATAGAAATGTAGAGTGGAAACTACCATGGGGGACATTTTTTCCCTACTCCAGACAGATGTTGCAGCAAAAACTGCAGGCCACCACAATTTTCCATTCCTTCTTCTCCTCCTTTCTGGAAAGCAGACCCCCACCCCTACCCCCGACCACAAGATAGAGCAGAGCAGTACAACCTCCGGATTATTGACTCCTGATCCAGGAAACCAGATGTTTTCTTGAGCAGCACAAACCCTCCCCCCCCCATATGAAGTTCCAAATTAAACCCCATCTCTTTCTGGCTCCCAGTATGAATGGCAGCTTATTTACATAACTGAGGAAAATCCCTCTGAAGTCAATCGGAGGAAAACGCTTGATAGCTCATGCCGCCCTTTGCACTTACCTGACTTCATGGCACAGCCAGCGAAGCTAACATGTTTTCTCCCGGGGTCAACACTGATCCTGCCTGTGCTGCTGTCAGAGGGATTCTGTCTGTGATATTTATGGTGTGTAAAGAGTTATTGAAAAACTCTTTTCCCTCAGGGAGACAAGTTGCCCTCAAACTGGGAGACGATTGCTGAACCCTGTGAGAGGAGATCTCGCAAATCCCAGTGGCAAGTATTAGGTAATCTCTGTGGATCCTGCACAAGGACCCGGAGTTCTTGTCTCAGAGGCGTTCCAGGGATCACTCTGTGCTCCTCTCCTTTGTATAACCAGAGAAATAGGAGATGTACAGAATTTCTTAACAGTGAGGTCTCATCCTCCTTGGCAGAGGAACCAACTCCTAGGGGCAAAAAGGTCTTTGGCACCCCAATAAAATATTTGATGGGGCTGTCCCTGCTAAGTTGATAGGCATTGCCATTCAAATGATGCGTGTGCACTGTGTCATGTGATCAATTATGCAGGGCAGGGCTTACCTGCCCCCCATATATTATTCAAGTGGGCACCCCTGATCCCTGCAGCTCAGAGGCAGATGAGAAGGAAAGTTGGGAAATCATGGGAGAGCCAGAGCAACACCTGGCTGACACGTCATTATAAAGCATTCCAGACCCTCCATCTCCCAGAAACCAGTGAGTCCCGAAAGTAAGAGAGCAAAGAACTCAGAGACAGTGGGTACGTAGCAGCACCTGTAGAAGTGACTAATGGGCATATGGGAGAACCGGGGGTGGGGTGGGGGAGATTCACCCAGGACAACGCCATTATCCAAGAGGCTGGGTTGTATAACCTCTCTCTGTAAATACTGAATAAGAAAAGGATGGTAAGAAATCTTCCCTTGTCTTTATACTTTCCTGGGCAACAGCTGAGAGTCGCTGACAGCATCCTGACAGATGATGAGGAAGCATTAATGATGACACTTTGGGTTCGTTCAGTCAACCAGCTACAAATGCACCTCACAGTGACACTATCTAGCTCACATTATACCAGCTTCTTCTCAGCAATAGCATGGGGGACTTTTATAAAAGCCTTGCTAAAATCTAGATATATTGCATCCACAGCATTCCCCTGATCCACCAAGCTTGTAACAGTTCTCTTTCTTCTTCACACAAAGGACTTACTACGTCCTTGTTCTTCCTCTTGCATCAAACATAGCTGGAAAAACCCCTATTGTATTTTTCTAACCTTTCTTGCAAGTCTGAGCTCATTCCGAGCTTTAGCCCATGTGAGTTTCTTCCTGCACCCTTGCTTCATCTATCTCTGTCACTTTCTTAAAAAAAACACACACACAAAAAACCTTTGAAATCCAAAGACTGAAGAACAACATTTTTTAACAGTGAAACTAAAATTCCTATATATTTTTAATCCTTTTAAGGATTGAACCAGCTAAAAGTATTTCCCTTTTGTACCCTGTTGTTTCTTCAGGCTTTGAGTTTCCTTACAAAACACTTTCTCTTCCGTTTAGCACAGAATTGTCATTTGGAATAGGTATCAACCCCTGGTTTTCTTTTCTTTTTTTAAAAATAAATTTGTATTAAGTTTTCCATCATAATAACACAAACCACAAAGCAAAATGATACACAAAACAAAAACAAAAAAACAAAAACAAAAAGGGGGGAAGAAAAAGAGAGAAAAAGATAAGGGGGGAAAGGGGGGGGGAACAATAAACAAATATACAATAAAAACAAACTTAATTCTTCCCAAATCCAACTTTTTAAACATCTTAATTGACTTCCTCAAGTCCCTCCCTTCTGAGTTTCCTTGTAATTTAAAAGTAACAGCTTTCCAATATCCTTATTAAACTAAAACAATTTCCAATTATTGTCATCTTATTCACTTTTCTTAACATTCTAAATCCCATTTATTTAATTAAAACTTAATTTATCCTAGGCCTATTTGTTTCTTTCAAGTAATTTCTAATTTTTTATATTACAATATTTGTTCAAATAGTCCTTAAATTTCCTCCAATCCTCTTGAAACTCCTCTTCTTTCTGGTCGCAGATTCTTCCAGTCAGGTCAGCTAGCTCCGAAAAGTCCATCATCTTCATCTGCCAATCTTCCACTGTTGGTAGTTCTTGTGTTTTCCAATTTTTAGCAAGTAATATTCGAGTGGCCGTTGTGGCATACAAAAATTATTTAACATCTTTCTTGGGCAATTCTAAA